GCACTGAAAAGAACACCTATAGTCAAAAGTACATAAACAATATAATCATGAGCAAAATTCCAACTCATATTTAGTGACATTCTATAAAAATACGTAGCGGGTACTCTTCAAAAATGTCAATGTCATTAAAAGGAAAGGACATCTGAGGAACAGTTCCAAATTAAAGGAAGTTAAACAGTCATAATGGAATAAAATGCATGAGCTTGGATTTTTCTTTTGCTGAAAATGACATCATTGGGATAACTGATGACATCAGAATAAGCTGTAAAGATAATATTGTATATCAATGTTAAATGTTTGATTTTGATAACTATATATACTGTGTTTATTTAAAAACCACGTGTTTATAGGTAAAAGGGACTTCCTCCATGTCTACCACTTACTCTCAAGCATTTCAGACAGAGTACAAATGAAAGGCAAGTGTAGTGCAACTTAACATTTAGGAAATCTGGGTGAAGGGTATATACGAATTCCTATTTTTTTATTAAGCCTGAAATTATGTCAAAATAGAATGTATAACACACACAAGCTCCAGGTAGTCCTGAATCTCCTTTACCCTATTTGTTAACCCTAGTAACCCATCATCGGCTAATGTGACCAGTTATTTAGTATGTTCACTATTTGTCTCTATGAAGTTTTTAAAACCTTGATTCTCTCATTGTACTGTTGCAAACTATTTAAAAGAAAAATGTAGAAAGTAGATTATTTTGAAGCCCAGAGTTTTATGAGGACACACAAAAATACCATCAAATGTTATCTTTAGGTATCAAAATATCTAACAAATACTGCAAAATTCTATATATGAGAAATGATTTTGAAATGATTTAAAAACAAAAGTACTATATAGAGATTAAATGATAAAAAAGTTTACCTAGGCAAAAATATAATACATTTCTAGAAAAATAAATCACTGAGTTTTTCTATAGCATTATTGGGAAATTTAATTATTAAATAATCTATAGCAAATAAGATAATATGCCAACATTATAGCTGAATCAGTCCATTATACAAATTGCCCAGCCAGTACTTTAAGTTAAACATCAACATATGAACAGATAACTTCTCAAGTGTGGTCATCCAAATTTACTTAAGACTTTTAACATTACCTCTTCATCGTTCGGGTCTACTGTGGTTTCATCATACACTCGCTGGTTGTCAATGGTCTTAGGTATAGGTTTTGGTGGAGCCTAAATAAAAGAAAAAAGGTTAAGTTGTAGAAGCATAAATAATTTTGCAAACAATCTCAAAACTCAATCTGTTCCTCATTTCAATCCACTGCTCCAACAATCCTAATAATACTGAGTAAAAAGCTTAACACTCTAAGCAGAAACATACATATACTGAAAGAATTGCTAACATTTGATAAAATGGCTTAAAACTAGACAGAAATAGCAGAGAAAAGAAACAGATCAAAATAACTATCCACTAAGAAAAATACCAAACAAAATGGGAAAAATTACAAAAGTACATATACATATAGCTTTGTTCCAATACTTCCAGAGAGCTATTCAGAAATATATAACAAAAGCTACAAATGTGCTTCTATCTGCTGCACTAGTAATTCTAGTTTGGGAGACCTTTGGTAAGGAAGGAAAGGGGGGAGCAATTTACACAAAGAAATAGGTGGTATCACTATTGTTAATAGAAATGAACAGCAAATAGGGCAAATGTCCAACTACAGGGTAATGACTATGGCACTTCAACATAATGGAATACTGTGAGAACCAGCAATCATGCACATACTCAGCTTCGACCAAAAAACTGTGAATGAAATGATAAGGAGCAGGAACAGAACTGTAAGCATACACTAAAACAAATCCAAATATATGTACACTAGCAGAGATATGAAGAAATATGAGCTGATAAACTATTTAGGATTTTATTTTTTATTACTCTAGGAACTAAATATCAAGTTTTAAATAATTTTTGAAGGAGTTAGTGCTAGGAAGTCATCTTTCAGTCCAAAAAACAAGAATAGTGATATTTTCAAATGATGATCAGCATATTTGCTGTAATTGACTGATTATTGAGAGTTAAAAAGAGACTAGTATTGCTTGATAGAATTTTGCAGGTCAAAATAATCTAATATTAGCAATTTCATGCTATTTAACCTAATATGATTAAAAGAATGCATGAAAAAGCAGTGTTTTATTTGTATACAGTTTTTATTTTTTTCCCGTCTTCAGAAACACTTATCCTTAGTCGGTACCTCATCTTAAGAAGACAGAGTGGGGAAGTGTTGTTTTTAAAAATTTGCAAGTATAAATAAGTGAAACAAAATGAAAATAACTTAGCTGTGCAAAAATGTGCAAGTATTTAGTAGTTCTTTTTAAATATTTCAATAGAAAGAGTTTACTTCTGATCAATACCAGAAAAATAGCCAAATCTTTTCTTGATGCATTTTCTCTGCTCTCTTCTTTGCAGTAACAGGTTATCTATCTTACCTTCCTTCCACTCCCCATTCTCACTCTTCAGATTCATACCCTCTATGTCAGTTCTCATTCTTACACACCCAGCCCTTCTACAGAAGAGGCTGTCCTGCTTTTCCCCTGCCTGTCCTAACAAACAGCCTTTGCTTCAGCTCACAAGAACTCCAGCTTACAGGCCTAACCTAAGGAGCTTCCCCATTCCCAAAGTCAGGGAGATGTGTCTCTGCCTCTCGAACACATAAAGTTAAGTAAAATAAGCAAGTTGAAGTACACATACCATTTATGTGAAATTTTAAAAACATGTAAAACATCACCATTGTGTTTATTGTTTAGGGACACAGATATGCATAGTAAAGGTAATAAAGAAGTGCATGGAACAATAAAGGACAATTTCATGAGTGGTTATCTTTGGAGAGAAAAGCAATCTGGAAACACACGGGGGCTTTGAACATTATTTGCTAATGCATTATTTCTTAGGTTGGGTAAAGGGTAGAAAGGGGTTTGTCATTATTTTTATACATCTGAAATATTTCATAATAAATTTTAAGAGAAAGTCATTCGACATAAATATCAGGGAACATTCCTGAACATCAGAAAGCAGATGGCTACATTTTATTTACCTTATCACCAAGGGCTTCTCTCTCTTTCTTAAGTTTTTTCTTAGCTGCCAGCTTTTCCTGAAGGGTTTAAAAAAAAAAAAAAGCAATGTTGAGAAATCACTAGTTATATCACACATACTGAAACCACAAATCATTAATGCTATGAATACTTACACTGAGCAATCTTTGTAATGTAAAATAAACATGGTGACAGATTTTCATACCTAAGTTATTCTAAACAAATGAGCTGGACAATCGATAAGATTTCAACAAAGATCTTGTTTCTTCAAAAAAATCCAAATTGGCAAGTTTGAATATTTAAAATATCACGAACTCTTTTACTGTAAAACCTCATATTAAATGAAATGTGCAAAATGAACATCTAAACATGTTTTTGTTGTATTGTTTTACATCCCTAACAAGTTGTGTCCTAAAGAAAACCACGGCTATGTTGGTTGTTTCTCTTGGAAAGTACAAAAAATGGGAATGGGAGATGGGTTTTCAGGTTGCTTCCAAAAAACCATCACTAGTTACCCATATATTTTATAATCAAAATATGCTTTTACAATTATTAAGAACTTGCAAGGTGAGTTAGGATTGTTTGTATTGCAAATGTGAATCTTCTGGAGATTTCTGAACAGAATGCTTGATTGATCAAACAGGAAATATCTTCCCCAGCGCTTATAAAACTCTTAATCCATCAGGTCTCAGATTAGAAATTATAGTCTCAAGAAGTCTTCTAGGATACCCTTCGCCCATACTCACACACCACAAATGGTTAGCTGCTTCTTCTATGTATTCCAATAGCACTTTCGCACTTAAGATGAATGACTCAGTCTAGGGCCTCAGCAAGACTAGTAAGAGGAAGGCATATAAGAAGAGTATCATGTGTGTGAATTTTTATGATGTGGAAGAATAAGCAAATGCTTCCAACTGCAATTTAACCACAAATGAGCACTGTGACCTGGGGGGGGGGGTGTGTGTCTGTGTGTATGTCTCCTCTTGTTTACCTCCCAGAACAGTATGAGGATAACGCTATAGGAAGTAAATACAATTACTAGTAACTAGACAGTACTAATTTCGGTAAGAGTTGAACCAGGAATCACAGACGCATCACTTTGGATTTATGTATTGCCTGTACTAGATTCTAGGAATTAACCAATGGTAGGTAGACCCGGCGAAGCGAAGAGACAGAGTCTTTTTGCCCCGTAGGTTAGGAGGGAGCAATTTTCACTACTAGGAAAGCACGACTTTTGCTTCCATTCTCAGCCGAGGGTGCCAGTAAGGGGCTGATAAAAAACGGAATCCTTGGCGTTTAGGCAAACAGCAGAGAAGGGATCAATACAAATCAGAGTCCGCCTTAGACCTTCCGAATTAATGACAACGACCCAGGACCCCAGGCACAAGTGACCACGCATGTGCAACACGCCCACCCCACCCCCATCTCCCACGCGCTGAGCACAACGCGCATGCACCCTGCCGCTCCGCCCCTCTCCTACCTTCCGCTGCTGCTGCTTCCACCGCGTGAACATCAAGTGTCGCCGCTGTTTGTTCTTAATCTCCGAAATGCTGAAGCCCGGAGGAAAGGCAGCCATTTTCGGGCCTTGGACTCCGCTTTCCGTCGCCCCATCCTCAGCGACGGCAGCCTCCTGAAGTCCTTCGGTAGCAGCTTTGCGTTTTTTTCCGCTGCCTTTCTTTCCGCTGCCGCCGCTCTTACCCTTACCCCCGGCCTTCTCCATGGTGTTTGCTCCTTCGCGTCTGTACGGAAACGGAAATAGTGTCCTCTTCTCACCCTCGCTGTTAGGCTTTTACTTCCGGGGCGGAAAGTTCTTAAAAATGTAGAATGCTGCGTGAGCTGTAGTCGTTTAAGGAGGTGCTGAGACTTATGTTTGAGGGTAGTTAAGGGGGTTGTCCAGCTGTATGGATAGTGAAATGTTGAATTCGTGGGATCCTTTATTGAGCGTTTTCTAGTTGCCGAGCCCTCAAAACGTTGGAACAAAATCTTTGTTGTATAGAGTTTTCATTCCACCAGAAAGACTTTGAATGAGCTCACAAGTAAATAGTGTGGTGAGCTGTAAAATAATACGCGGTATGGAAGAAAATAGAACAGGATGAAAGAGGGGAGGGGACATGCTGTAGCTTTTAAATAGAAAATTAGAGTAGGCTTCGTTGAAAAGTTACATTGAGCAAAGATTTGAAGGCGATAATGAGGTAAACTGCAGTTATCTGCAGAGGGAAGAGATGCTAATCTGAGAAAAACTCCAGCAACCATACAGCTCCAAAGCCCCTAGAAAGCCTGGCATGTTTGGGAAACACTAATGGCCAGGGGTCAGATGAGAAAGGAGAGTAAGGGGGGAAGGGGTTAGGAATAACACATTGTGTAGGGTTTTGTAAGGACTTTGGTTTTTATTATATGTGACATGCAGATCTCTTGGAGGATTTGAGAAAAGGAATAACATGACCTGACTTAAATTTTAAAAGCATCACTCAGACTCCTTTTGAGAACAGACTTTAGGGGAAGGAAAGTAAAAGGAGGGGAGAAATGGCAGTGTCTTGAACTAGGGTGGTTCTAGTGGAGGTGGTGAGAAGTGATCAGATTCTTTTGAAAATTTTTGAATTGAATGAAAGGCATGAGAGGAAGAGAAGAGTCAAGGATGATTCCAAGGCTTTTGAACTGAACGACTGGAAGGATGGAATTGCCATCAGTTGAGCTGGGACTATTGGCCTGTCTTGCATTTTGAATGGATCTTTTACCCACAGGTAATTTTGTAGCATCATGCATTCACTGGCTATTTGGAAAATATTGATTCACTGACTTATGCGTATCTTCCAAAATTGACACATTTCATTATACTATAATATCAAAAAGTCACATTTCTTAAAATCACTACTACTCTCATCAGAAAAGTCTTCAAGTACTTGTAAGCTGTCAGGCTTACAGTGGTGGATATGGGTACAAGTTTTCTGAAATCTTGATTTTCACCTTAATAGAGGCTTCCTTGGCTCCAGGTCACTGATGGCAGTGCCCATAATGCAATGCAGGAGGTCGAGGCAGGGGTTAAGGAGAGTGAGGAGTGGAGGGTGGTGAGGGCCTCTTGCTGATGGACATTTCCCAGGCCTATTTCTCAGGCCAAGCCATCTCCCTGTTACTTTCTTTCATTCGTGGACCCCTGACGATTGGCTTACTTTTCCACTGCCAACATTAGTTAGCAAGAGCAACCTTATCACAAAGCCTGAATGTATTCTGGGAGTCTGCTTATAGAGGCAATTTAAGGGGTGCTTTGTGGGCACTACCTTACTCATTTGTGCAGGATGCAAGCCACCACCCACCATGTGGTGGATCCTATGGCAGCATCTTGGGGAGTCAAAGTTATGCTATTTGGTTATTCTGATTAAGGTTTTTCTTTTTTTCCAACCCATCATAGAAAAGAATGTATTCTTACAGCCTTTCCTCAAAGCAATCAAAAGAACCTTCAATTTTTCTGGTTTCTTTTTTTTTCCCTATAGCAACCAGATAAAATATAGATAAAAGACTCCTTTTATCCCTTTACACTGTAATAGGGATTATAAGGTCTTATATAATGTTGGTCTTTGGCTCTACAAAAATTGAAATAAAGCTAAGCTGCTTTTATGGGGAATAACAAGTCAGTGCATTTCTTGGAATTTCCATCACAAGAGCCAGGAGGGTGTCTGGGGGGGGGGGGGGGAGAGGGAGAGGTAAGAAGATGGAAGAACAGTCTAAAGAATTAAAGATGTGTTTATGAGATAAGCATTAACAGTAGTGATATGGGCAGAAGCTAAAGAATTAGATTACACTATTATTCTCAGTATTTTGTGCCTACGTCACTCCTACTTACTAGATTGATACGAGGGTAAATAAGTGGAGATTCAGGATAAAATATCCCTAGTAAGTGATCAGGTTCCAAAAGTTTCCACCATGTTCCAGTAGACTCCCGGGAGATTTTGTTGATTTAGGTTCCCTACAATTATTCTTTCTAAAGCCACGAGTTCAGGATACAGTTTAGTATATTCCAAAACTTGCCTTAGTTAAAGGCATTGTTTTTATGACCGAGACATGCTGGGAAGTTCCAGTGTTCTCTAGATGCTAGATGCATCTTGTAATTGCTAAAACCTTGTGTATCGATAATTAATCTTTATCTATAGCTGTGCACAGACTGAGTTCTATTTTGGGGTTCGATATGCAAGACACACCACCACAAGCGGCTTGAGAGTAGATAAGAGGTTTATTGTTAACAGGGACAGAGCTAAGGGAAATAGAAAGTAAATAGTCACAAGGGAAATAGAAAAATAGTTACAGCATACCACTAGGGCCCCTTTATCCAATTCAGCACCGGAATCAGCATCACGGGCAGTTCGGCACCGGAATCTGAGCATCACGGGCAGTTCGGCACCGGAATCTGAGCATCACGGGCAGTTCGGCACCGGAATCTGAGCATCACGGGCATTTCTCAGAGTAATGACACAGCGGAATCTGTTGAGGAAGAGCTGCTGCTCATCCCTGCCTCCTGGGTTTTCTTAAGAGTTTTCTAACAAAGGTGGTTTAGAGCCAAATGGCGTATGCGTAAGCAATACATGGGACCAGCCCCGGACCTGGCCAGGAGCCGGAGCTAGCCCGTGGCACTGATTAGGACTAGTCCTTGGAGTCCAGCCCAGTCTCGAAGACCTTGGGGAGCTCCACATATCGTTCCTTAGCATCCCTGGAGGGTGGCCAATCCTCCAGAGAGTAAGTGCATACCTAAGCCATGAATCCAATCATATGACCCCAAGCAGGCCTTTTTCCTTCTAAATTCTCATACACCTTGCAAAAGGTCTATAGAGCTACCTGAAATATGATCAATGGACCAGCAACAGTGACATCATCTGGAAGCTTAATAGAAATGCAGTCTCAGGGTCCACCCCCAGACCAACTGAAAGATGCTAGGTGATTCATAAACACATAAAAACTTTGAGAAACACTTCTGAAGAAGATATGTGACATCCCTCACCCCTATTAATTTCTGTTGATCAATCAGAGGCCTTGTTTCAGGTCAAAAATTTATGGTTGGTTTATAATGATATTTTATTTTCAAAAACAGTATTTTACTATTTTAAAAATGGTTTTATTGCCTGAAAGGAAGACAGACTAGTGAGAACTATTGTGGAAAACTAATGTATTTGTTTTATTTTCTAACTTAGTCTTTGCACAGACTTGGAATGAGATTTAATAGATTCTTTGTCTGACTGGTAGGCAACATTGGTCAAGAGACCTATGATTATACCTTTGTTCGAGAGAGCAAAATGGTTTTACTTTTCTTTCAAGCAACTATCAATGAAAGTGAGTCTGAAAGTGTAATCAGGTCCAGCAGCATCCACATCACCTGGGAACTTGTGAGATGAGTAGATGTCTGATTCAGAGGGTCTGAATCAGAGGCTCTGGGGATGGGACTCAAATCTGTTTTAACAAGCCCTCCAGGTGATCTAATGCACACTCAAGTTGGATACCCACTGGTCTCATTCTATTATTTGCTAATACAAGCAGACTAAGGTTTTGTTTCTCTAGTGTCTATGGTAAGCTTCCCTAACTGGAAACCAAATCTGCCTCTTCTCATGTCTACATATAGGAAAATTTAGATGCCTACAATAGGTGATACCAAAAGAACTATTTTATCAAAGTGTTCTCATAGATATAAAAAATATTCTAGCAATGATGGTAGAGCTTGTATTGATATAATCATCATCCTTAGGTAAATAAAAGAGATTAATAACTGGCTACAAGATCATGTTTACTTTTTGCTGAAAGTTAAGAATCTGACACGATGTATGCCCAGGGCTCTTGGACACTAAATTTATTTTAATACTGTTCACATTATTAGTATTTTGACAGTGATTAGTTTTATTGTCCAGAAATGGCTGGTTTTTGGCTATCAGCAGTAAAACAATAAATGCAATGTGGTATAGGGATTGAATCCTGGAACAGAAAAAAAGACATTAGTGGAAAACAAATGAAATATGAATAATGTTCAACATTTAGTTAATAGTAATATAGCAATGTTGGTTCTTAGTTTTGAAAAATGTGCTAGGGCAATATAAAATGTTAACCATTAAGGGAAACTGGATGAGGGTATATAGGAACTTTGTATTATTTTTGCAACATTTCCATAAATCTAAAATTACTCCAAAATAAATTTAAAAAAAAAAATCTCTCCTTGACCCGTCACTTAACTAAGCTGTTGAAGTATTACCAAGTAAAAGAAATTAACTGCTCTACACCTGCCCATTTGTAGGTAGACCAAAATTGTTTAATTTGTTGGGATGCCAGCAAAGCTATTAGTAGTCACAAAACACATTTGCTAAATATCTAGAACAGACAATTAAAGCAGGAAAGGTGCTTCCTTTACTCTCCATTCCCTGAACTTTTGTATATAGTTTCCACTCAGTACTTTGCACTTGGTGATATGTTGTTTTAATAATAATCCTCAAATCATTTCATGGATGACTGTTCCCATCCACCCCCGCCCTCCTCCAGAACACTTAATGCAGGAAGTAGGCATTCAGAGCTCAGATTTCTCTGACTAACCAACTGACTAAATGTGCTACCTGTAATTATATTTTAAATTTTAATCAGGACCGTTCTGGGAACTCAAGGGGATAAAGTCAAAATCAACTATTCGTGTTAGGTTTGCATAAATTTTCTAGAGTGAATAGACTTCATCAAAACTTGTCAAAATGCAGAATTTGTCAGTGGAAACCAGAATATCAAAAATTCTAATCATCCATATGAGATACACTCAAGATTGGAGATGAATAGTTTGTGGTGAAGTTAACATTTCTAAAATAAATTTGGGGCTGAACAGAAAGTTACCTGTCTTCTTTAATGCTTTTGGTTTTATTTTTTTTTTAGAGTAATCAAGGACCAAAAATATTATCGTGCTCTGTCCGTTGATATGTGTGGAGAAATTCTGAAAACAGCCTAATAGAAAAAAAACACTTATCTCTAATCTTCCTTGATAGTATCTATGTAAAGTAAAGCCAAAGCTACTTAAAAATACAAAGAATTATGATACATCTAACAGAGATTCTCAAAGTGTTTCCAATGTATCATCTCAATCCTTCTAAAATTCCTATAAATATTAATAGATGCAAGGCAGGAATTATCATTTTTCCAGTAGGAAAGCAGAAGAGATTAAACACAGTAGCCGGATGAAACTACAAATTGTAATTCTTAGGCCATTGCTCTTTCAACTAATCATGTGTCATACCCTTAGATCCATATTACATAGAGTAAATTGTTAAGTGAACACAACCCCATATATCTGCATATGAGGTCTGACAATAAAGTTCAAGAACCCAACCTAGAAAAAGTGCTACATACCACATTGCTGAATATCACTATGGTCACCTTGCAAGTACTCCCTTTGGGAAGTTATGCACCAATGCCAGCACCTAGTCCACCCTTCAAAGCAATTTTGGAACTCTTTCTGGAGTGGCCATCAGAGCTGTCATCATATTACCCTTGATGTCCTAAATGTCATAAAAATGTGTTTATTTCAACATTTCCTTTATCTTCAGGTAAAGAAAGAAATCATTGTGGGGCCTGATCAGGTGAGTAGGGAGGGTGTTCCAATACAGTCATTTGTTTACTGGCCAAAAACTCCCTCACAGACAGTGCCGTGTGAGCTGGTGCATTGTGGTGATGAAAGAGCCATGAATTGTTGGCGAAAAGTTCAGGTCATCTAACTTTTTTCACACAGCCTTTTCAG